TGCACTCTTGTCCGCGCGAACAGTATCCACGCGCGAAGTCCCTGCACGCATCAATCGCAGGAGCACCGGGCGACGTAGACCTGGGCCTCCTTGGAGGCTCGCCCCTAGGGCTAGGCGTACGCCGCTTGTCCTGCTCCCGATTCCTGGGAGAGTACCTGTCCCTTCGATGAGGACTTGGGGCATTACCGGTCCTCTTCCTCGGATCGCTAGGAGGCCGACTCGGCCTATGGGAATCTCCAAACGGAGATCGTCTCCGGACGGGAGGACCAGGAGCACCAGGTTTCTGGGCTCTGTCCCTGGACTGAGATCGTTCGTAAAAGTCTTTGTGCATATTGACCTGATTCTTACGAACCCTCCAGCGGTCAATTTCGTTCTTGCAACGAGCACGAAGCCATTCATAGCTACAAACATCAGGATTGGATATGTTCCTATCCCATTCCCTGATATCATGAGCCAAACAGTTGAGGTGTCTAACCTTTTCACTGAATAGCGACCGCTTTACCTGCTCGGTCAGCGGTTCATCGAGACCCGCAAGGATATGATCCCACTTCGCGATGAACCTTTCAAGTCGCTCCTCTTCAGTATAGAAAGATGAAACACTGCATCGCAAGTTTGAGAGCTCGATTATCCTGAATGATTGCTCTCCGATATTTGCAGTCCTTAAGTGGTCGTATAAGAGCCACAGGATCTGCCTACTCTTGATGCGATTGTTGGAACGTTGAGCGGCTTCGGTGAGACGATTAATCTTATCGATAATTGCAACAGTCTTGATGCACTTCCGAATGGCTGCATTGAACCTGGCTTCAAGGATGTGGTATTTACATTCCCCGTCCAGCTCATCAAAGGTCTTTGCCTTCTCGACTTCAGTTAGCCAATTGATGACGTAAAGTCCATCATAGCTGTAGGCATTGCTAACAGCTTCCTTCATATTGGCTATCCATACCCTCAGCCCAGCCGCGTCGGGCTCTGGCGGGAGGTCTATGGGAATGCACTTAGTCGCAGCTGTACAGTTCGGATCATGGTGGCTACTGTACCCGCCGCCACCAGTTCCGAAAAGATGCTGTGGAACCTGAGAACTACCGATTGATAATGCACATACAGGACAAAGGCGAGTAGCCTTCGGAATGCAAATCTCACATGCCCTTTTCATGCATATCTTACATTCCTCAATTTTGCTGGGGTCAGGAATATCCCGATCACACATCCGACATTTCTTGTCAGGAGGATCGGGGCCACGCATGGTCGGCGGCTCAAGGCCTGAAGGATCCTTTGGCCTTGTACCGTTGGGATCAAATCCTGGATAATATCCGGTTTCACGTTTATCCAGGGGCACGGGTTGCGTAGCCTTCGGAGGACTCTGAAGGTCAGCCGCGTTGGGTTGACCCCCAGTTGGGGTGTCACGGAATCTGTCAACGGGTGGCCGCAGAGGCGGCGAGAACGACCGCGTCGGGTTCGCCTCAGGTACGCCCCCAGGCGACCTATTCCTGACACGGTTACCATCGGGATCCCTTCTTCTCCTAGTTTCGTCCCTTAGGCACGCAAGACAACAGGGACCCTGGACAAATCCAAATCTCCTGTAGTCGTCCTGCCCAGCAGAATGTCTGGTGCAGTAGTACGTCTTACAAAACTGACACTCATTTCCCTTGGTCAGGAACGAGCTCTCCCTACAGACTCCGCATCGGGGCCCGTTACGGGAACATTCTTCGCACAGGTTCTCTTTAAATGAGAAGCAATACTCACAAATATCACCTCTGCATCCCTTGCAGTGAAACTCAGCCATGAGATGATTATATCCATCACCTACGTATTTACATCTGGGTTTACCAGGGTTGCCAGGGTTCCCACCGGCGGCTCTCTTCTTCCCCCCTCCTCCTGGGCTTTTCAATCCACTGCCTGAGGCCTGGTTCGAGTGCCTTGACTCTAGGGAGTTAATTCTCTGGGCTGTATTACCCAGCACCTCGAGCATTTGCTCGAGCTTACTGTTGAGCGTAGTCGAAACGGCCATGTTATGAGTATTTTGCTTGTCCGTGTAGGATTTGCAGTCCCTTGACTTTATCTCAAGGTTGGCTTGTGTCTCATAAAGTTGGTCTTTAACCCACCTTATGCCGTCCCTATCATTAGTCCAGCGTTGTTCGACATCTTGCATCATCCTATCAATCTGACATACCCTAGTGGACAGGTCCTCGATTTTGAGGTTTACTCCACCAATCGCAGGATGGTTGGATTGGCTCTCCACTAGAGATCTCTCGATCATATCAACACGAGCTATAAGCCCGGCTACACGATCAGAAAGAGATTCAAAAACAGTTTGAACCTGGGTGATGGAGCGAGCAACATCATCATAGCTGGCTCGCTCACTTAGGGCATCGCCCATGCTTATCATGCGATCGGCAACGATCTTGACGCGTTGGCCAAGCTCGGTCACGATGTCCTTACTCCCTTGTGATAGCTGCATGGCCGCGTTCGCAGCCTGCGTACACGTGCTACTCACATGGACACATTGTTCGTATTTGGCCCTCCACGAGTCGACCTCAGTGGAGAGCTGCTTGATGCATTGATCACTTCTATCATTCCTACGCCCAAGGTCTTCGACCTTAGCAACCAGGCGATGAGTGATCGCACTTACCGAAGAATCCACCGTCCCTCTTTCAAGGGCTGTCACAAGATCAGCAACCTCGTTGGGTTGCTCCTCACTCGCAGGACCATATCCTGATCCGCGATCTTGAGGAGTGGACAAATCGACCATGATTGGATTAGATCTCGGAGGAGTTCTGAAATCATCCTGGACGGCCGTTGATGGCCGTGGGAACTCACTCCGATTAGGAGATTGACTCTGATACGGAGCAGACCTTCTTGCATCACGAACCGCAGAGGGTTGTGTCATGCCCAGGCCTTTGGCAACGGACAGCTTAGGAACAACAGGCCTATCCGTTCGCATAGGAACATCAGGTCTCGAGTCAGCAATAACAATGTCATTCAAGTCGGTCGCATTGGACACCCTAGACTCAGACATCGATTCAATATCAGTTCCATTACTGATGGTATGATTGCGACTAGAACTTGATGCCATCATGGACTCAGACTCTATCGGAACATTAGCTCCGTCCATATTGTCCAGAGCGAAAATGGAAGCCGCGTTGGGCGTAGGGTGAACACTTCGCATGTTCAAGCCACTAGACCTATTAAATTCCTCCTGGAATGCCTCGATCCCATCAAGCACGTTAACGAGTGTGTCCGCGTTTAACGGGTCTCTTCCAATGATTGACGCTGGGTCACCTGATCGGCCGCGTCCTGAGTCCCGCGCACTGGGGTTACCCCTGTGAGCAGTTTCCCGATCCATCCCCCTTGCCCTATGCGATCCAGTCGAATTTGACCTTGATCGTTTGCTTGGGGTTGGACTGGGATGCAAATCCAATCTATCTACGATATTACGCTCCCTAGGGCGCTCAAATCCCGAAAGTCCCGGGGGAGGAGACATGTTCCTCATGGTCGGGTTTACCGACGGTCTTGGCCTGACGTTGCGGCTGGCCACATCAGGATGGAGATTCTCAATCGACAAAGGTAGCATGAATGCATCACTTCCAGCAGCTCGTTTTGGGCTCTGGAAATGCGGGAAAGATGACGGGGCGGGTGGCCCTGGCATCCATGCGGCAAAATCCATACCAAAAATGTTTCCGTCGTTGGGCCATGAGGCTCTCCAATCGAGTCCACCGGATTCGGTCGGCAGATGAGCGTCAAATGCAACTCCACTGGATGTACCAGGTTCGGGATTACCGAGCGCTTGAAAAACTATACTGCTGGTTGGCACAGGTCTACTGCTACTTCGAGAGTCACGAAGCTCGGACTGACCAATATTCATCAGCTCCGGGAAAGATGAGGATTGAGCTCCAGGTGCAATACCGGGCTCGTCATCATCACGTCCTGAGACGGAATCATCATGGTCAGGACGATTAGCCCCATGACCCTGAGAGCGATTAGCTCTTGAGGCATTAGACGATAGCTCATCAGTGCGAGTAGCACTGGATCTTCCTGAAGGCATTGCTTCTGAAAAAGAGTGGTCCGACAAAAAGTCAGGACCGGAAAACATCGGCTGTCCGGGCACTTGGTCGTCATTCACAACGTCCAAGATTCCGGCCTGGCCGAGAACCCACTCATCGGTCACCACATGAGGTCCATCCTCGGTGATTCCCGCCATGAGTCCTACAGTAGCCTATGGAAAACGGCGCCTGCAGGGTTGTTATTAAATGGGGTTCGCGGTGCCAACCGAGGACGAATCCTACGGCTGATAACCTGCGAAAGGGTTTGAATCAGAGTTTCGGGATGGATAAAACAGGCCCTAACCCACCAACAAGAAGAGACCACCTTATCCCCCCCGGTCCAAAGGGCAAAGCGGTTGCCCTCGGCCGGCACAAACACGAACCAAAACAGGGTGCCAGTTGTAACAAGATAAAGAAGCCCAGCAGGGGCAGAGACAACCGAAAGCAAGCACAAAGCAGCAAACCAAGCAGGCAAACAAAGCAGCGCAGCGAGCAAGCAAAGCAAACCAAATGCGCACCGTTCCCAAACCCAAGTCCTGACCAATCACCAGCAACACCAACACCAACCAGGGGAGGGCCGCGGCACCTTTTGTCGCGGAGCTCGAGGTCGCCGTGTTGGGGCACCGACGCAATTGCAAGCGGGTTCGCCGGAACGAAAAGCTTGAGCCAAATGGCGCATTGGCCATGGCAATAATCAAACATGCTATGATAAACGTACATGCCCCCAAAAACAAAATCAATTCAAAACAGAATTAAAATGTGATTCAAACGACACGCATGGGAACAACACGGAGCCACGATTGTCTCACTTGAGGCCCCAACCAGCGAAACAATGTTTCTCTGACAAGAAACCTCCAAAAATATGAAGCCGCAACATCCTGTAAAATTCAAAGGGTCCCTTTTGCGGCTTGAAAGAGCCCCAACCCCAACCCAACCTCACCGCCACCCCCACCCAGGAGGCGCCTTCACGTGGAAGTACGCCGACATAGGCGCTGTGCGCGCCGCCGCGGACCGCAGCGTGGCGGGGGCTTTCCGGCGAGGGCGCACACCCGCCGCCCGGGGCGGCAGCGGCTTCTGGCGAACAAAAGACCCTGTCGTATGTGTCTCTTGGTTAAGGGGACCACTTCTTTGGATGGTTTTAAAGACACACCAAAAGGAAACCCAACAGTTTGGGGGTGCCCTCAAAAAATGACAAACCCGTATTGATAGTGAATTGTCATGATTTTCATGGGTGCAACATGACCCTTTGGACATCATTTAGGGGACTCACATGTCTGCCCAACAACCTCCTTTGGGGTGGTATTCAATTAGACCTTTAGCCACTTGAAGAACTGATTCTCGTTGTGTACCGTAATTTACCATGGCACGGTCGGCTTACTTGCAATATTTCAGGCATCCCTCGTATTCTAAGACGACGATTGAAAACTTCAAAGAGGAAGCAAAAGAGGACGGACCATTGGAGGCTAAACAATAATGACTCAACCAAAAGAAATGCACCATAATAGCATGTCTTTCCTCTACCCACTCTGCCGTCTGCAAGGGTCCATTCACCATGCTTTTCGCAGCGACGACCACAAGCAAGCAAGACATACCATCCTGAATTACGAGAAACAAATATTGGTTCAGAACAAGATACCAAACACGTGTTCAAAACAAATATCAATATGTGCTTTTGTTGACAAAAACAGACAACAATGAAGAGACAGAAGAGACGGAGAACAAATCGAGAAGTCATCTGGATTCTTCATTCAGAATATCTATCATAGCATATGAAATCCAAATGGAATAGAAGTTCAAAATAAAATGATAGAGGGATGACACAATAAACGTAAACATATGATTATTGATCTTTATCTTTGTCTTATTCTTGTTTGCATTTGAGGTTTTCCCGCGTCATTGCTTCTCCACTGTCCTTTCTTCCTCCCCTTCCTTCACCCGCTACATGAGTCTCTGGAAGCGACAGAAGGGATAGAGCCAGGGGCTGGGACAATAGAGTCGTAGAATCTGGACCAGCTCCCACTCCCTTCGCCCCCCATCCTCTGCCTCCATTCCTTTCTTCTCTATGTCGTGCACATCTTAGAAATCTCCGAAAGAGTAATCATAGTATTATGATGAAGGACGCCACAGCATCTCTTTATCTCTCGTTCAGTCCTTGTCCTTGAATCCGTGATGACAACATAGTAATAATGCAAGATTCTTCCCATATATTAAAAGTTGAAATGAATTATGGTGGCGTCTCAAGTGTATTACTCTTGTGACATGGGACATTTCTGATCATGCATGAATCACTTATTAATACTTGGCTCAGTGACACGTAGTGTTAGGCATAGGGGAGACCAAAAGAATCCATTGCTGATTTTAGGGTCCCCGAATTTAAGAAACCCGAACATGTGTGTCATCGTAGAAGAATCAACTCATGTGAGTCCGGGGGCATAGATCCACAACTCTGCCAATCTGAAGTAGGCACTTTGGGCTGTGCCACATGCAGCCTCCGTTCAACTCTTGTATGTCGCCATAGGTTTGTCTCCAAATGTGGGACCCGCAACAACACATGCGATCTTCCTGTACGTCACGTTGCGATTTGGAAAACCCAAGGGTGAGGCAGGTGATCCAGGGCTTCAATCAAACCTGACAGATTCACAGCCGACACGGGAGTCCCCGACCTGCAAGCCTTACTCACCCCTTTTCGGGGTAACCTTTTCAGCTTGATTTGAATCCTTTTGGGGGTCACTTCACACTCAAACTGCCCAAAGCAGTTGAGACGATCGAGCGGCGAGCCTCATTGAGGGTGCGCAAGTCCATTGCCCAAGAGTCGTCTCTGGCCTTGCGGGATGGTGACTGGCGCCGAGAGTCGTCCCATGACTACTACTTTCTCCCTTTGAAGAGGATTCAGCAGATTGTCCTTCAGTCATGACCCCGGATTAAGGCACAAATCAAGTCCCGGCATTCTTGGGGGTGTACCCAAACCCCATGGAACAAAATGACAATGTTATGGCTCTGGCGATTCACCCGCCGCATTCTTGCCCCCATTTCTGGACAGGCATCCACCAGCCCCTTTTTTGGAGCAGGGCCCTAGCCTCAACACACACAAACACACACAAACACACACAAACACACACACATACACATCCATGTTGTCTTCTAAACCTGGAAAGCCCCGTGTATTTCCACATCCTGCGCCTACCACACCTGTCACTTGCACCTTTTCGCATTGAAAGAACGGGTGACATCCCCCTTTGGGGTCCACCAAATTCCCCCTTCAAGCCGGACACGGACATGGCATCCTTGTCGGTTCCCTCCTTTAGGTCGTCACAGCCACGAATCGAGCGTCTCCGAGTGCCGGTGGTGGACCCCATGCGAACGCGCCCTGAATCCATTCTCTGCGGCCTGTGCTGGTTGTGCTACGTATCTCCACTGGCGCTCGGCGTTGCTTCTCCGCGAATATGAGTCAAGTATAGAGCCCATAAGAATCCACAACATCCAGAAAATGCCCCGCGATGCGCAGACGGAACGAAGCTGTAGTTGAACCAGCCGAGCGGAGCAAATTTCCAGAGCGCCAACCAGTCCTGAAATCGGTTCTCATGGCATTTCTCCAATGCCCTTGGAGCACTGAACGTTGCTGCTTCCACCCAGTCCTCAGTCAAGTAGTACAGCGGAAAATACACCAAATTGGAAGTGACGTTATAATCCAGGAGTACAAGCGCTACCGGTGAGTTGAATTTGTGCAGGAGGTGCGAATACAACGGACCGTAGATGAAGAAATACACGCCACCAATCAGAATCCCAAAGTTCATAAACTTCGCTGCTCGCCCAGGCTGGATCTTGTCCTGCGTGTAATGCTGGTAAACCAAATCAGCACAGCTGTACCGTGCGGCATGAACACCCACGCTGGCACTAAACCCAAGCACGGCGCCCTTACCCACTAGCCGGCGAAGCATGATCGCCTTATATGCACAGTTCCTAGACGACTTTCATAGCTCTGCTCGAGCCAAGTGCAAGCTTCCAAACGGAGGCTGATCTGCAGCCGCAAAGAATCCATTTACGCTTGGCAGGCCAGACGTCTGCTGTGAGGTGCAGCTGCATTTGGGTGGGTCTCAAAATAGGGGCACCCCGAAAATGGGTGGTTTCCTTTTGGCCTCCCTTTAAAACCACCCAAAAAGAGTACCCTCAAAACAAGACACACCCAGTTGCCATCATGGCTTGAGAGTAGATATTCGAGTTTAGGCAAAATCTGTTGGACACACTTCGTGTCTGGTTCAAGATCAAGGAGAGTACCTGTGTCAAATCAGAGTTTTTGCCAAAAGAAAGCGTACTACTTTTGGCTGGCCTGGACATGTCTTCAAACTTACCAGTGAGGCATCCCATGCACCATCATCCTGCATTACGTACTTCCGAATTGTCTGCGAGAGCAAAGCCATGTACTGGGGCAAAGTCCTTTGGGCGCGGAAAGCCGACCGACCATTTGTACTGCTCGGAGCGGATGAGTATTCCAAACGAGCAAAACGAAACCTGCGGAGAAAACTGGCATGTGCTCGAGCAATTGTAGCGACTTAAACGCGACTGAATGCATCATCCAGGCTGCTGAATAGCTAAAAGTCCTCCTATACACCTATATCGGTTTGGGTTGGGAATGAGACTTGAAAAAAGCAAAAACTGACTATGAAACAAAACAGTGTACTGCAGAATCCATTTGTGTGATGTTGCTAAGTTTCATTCATAGCTGAAAGGCACTAGTCATACCTGTTGCAGCCGGTGTCCAAACTAGCGACAACAACTGAGAATTTAGAAAGCAACACTTTGTCAGGAGACACGACTCAAGCAGCGACACGCGCTAGCATGCTTGGTTCAAGGAATGCAATTGACATGCATTGCTAACCAAGTTCCAGCGTATCTCCAAACAGCAATACAATATTTCGCGTTTGGCCCGCGAGTTAATGTGAAGCTTCATTTGGGGTGCCTTGCAATTTCGGATGAGAAGCAAACGCGATTAGACTTCTTATGCAATTGTCGCCTTGTAGGTTCGCTTGAACAGAAAGAACGACTAGACGCATACCGACTTGCATGTCGAGTCGAACCACAAAATTAATTCGACATGTTTGTTCGCAGTTGCTGTAATACGTTACGAGTTCAGTTGAGTGGAAAAGGCAGCTGGCTATGGAGAAGCAACTGAGTCCTTATTAGCGATGATTGGTCCGACGGCCTTGGGCTGGGCTAACCACTTGGCTGTCGTTCAATGGGAGCAGGACCAAACACATCTTTTATCCAGCCACCTCTCGAGCCATGCAACGAAACGTGAATCTGTGAGATGTTCTGATAAGATTGAAGCACCAACGCTGTATGTTCAGGATGTCAACATTGTCCATTCCCACCCCAAGATGGGCGGTGCCTTCCCTTTGAACTCCCCTTCAATCCAGCCAACAGAAGTACCAACAATGTACTTTTCTCTTGGGCGCAGTATCAACTGCCTGCCGCGCACCTCCAGTGCGTGAAAGATGGAGCCAATCCTTTTCAGCTGCTGGTAGAGGTGCTCCCAAATCCTCGCAGGGTTTCCATTCAAAGGGCCCCCGCCCTTTTGGTAAACTCTATTTGGGAGCGTCTTGTTTGGTACCCTCTGGGCTTGCTGAAGGGGAACCGAAGGGCAAGCGAAGCCGATACCTCCGGTTCCAACATGTTCCACTCGTGTTTCACCTCCTTTTGGGTTCCACTAAGCTTCCTGAAGGTGGCGAGCGCCAAGCAAATTTTGCCAAGACATTTGGGCCCGTGGGCCCACTCCGCAACGAGAGCTGGGGCCCCTGCATCTCCAGCACTGGGTGCCGCCCCATGGGCGCGTCGAAAGGCGCCTGACCGAACGGTCAGCGAGGAACTTCCCATGGCTCCATCCGTTTGCCCGTTTGCCCGTTTGCCCAGGCCACGCATCGTGCCCGTGGCTCCTCCCGGCTCCCGTCTTCCGGCTCCCGTCCTGGGCCAGTGAACTGTGCCAGTCTCCCGGGTTGCTAGCCGTCAGGTGCCAAGAGAAGGTCAGGAAGGGATCGGACCTCGGGCGCTCGACAGTAAGCGTCCAACTTGGTTTGAGCTATCAATTGCCGCGTCACGCAGTCCAAATGAGCAGCACACACAAAAAAGAAATGACCATTGGAATACATGCAAAGGTGTACAAGCCCTTTCCATACTTTCTACATCAGCTCAAAAGCGAAAGCCAAGAGAGATGCCAACTGAGCTCTTGGCAGTGCTTGCGGGTCGTAGCACCTGAGGTTGTCCAAAGCCTCGACCCTTCATGTTTGAAACTAAGAAGTGCTACAAATGGGCCCTTGGTCCAAGCACCCGAAAGAGAACAAAACAGCTCCTTCCTTGTCCTTTTGGCAAGCCAGAGGCCTTCATTTCCAAGGTCAAGAAAGGATATGAAGTATACCGCCGTCACAATGGCTCATGCTGTGGAAAACATGTCAGCGCTGTCTCCATTTTGCGGATCGCGGTCGAAGATCATCCGCTGCATGCGCTCGTTCTCTTCCACATAATTGCGAATCCTTGGATCACAAGCAGCTCGCTCTGCACAAATCTTATCTTTCCGGCAAGCTGCTGAATCCTGCAAATCTTCAGCTGATCTTCGACCTCCTGTGCTTGGGACTCGCCTGCGAGTCGCCCAAAATGCGCAGAAAGCTCTCTCTCGCCACCGGCCTGGAGCTAAAGCTGCTCTCAGCAGGGCTGCCTGGGTGTGCCTCTCAGCACGCTCCTGCGACAGCCGACCCGGCAAATGTCTCCCTGCCACCCGCAAGCGGAGTCCTTGCGATGCTGAGCGATCTCAGCACTGAGCCCAGCGTTTTTGGAGGCCTGCTCCTGCGCGTCTGACGAAAACCGTTGTGCGACGGGAGGGCTCTTTTCTGAAAAGCTGATGACCCAAGCTCCGTTAAAGGAAGAAAAGGGGAAAGCACGAAATTCGAGAAAAACCCTCCAAGTGATTATGAGGGCCCCTTGAAATGTACACTTCAAAGCACCCACCCCTTTTGAGATTGGGATGTAGGCTTGTCTGCCAAAACACAGCATTCCCCTCAAGAATTTGCAACGACTAAGGGCTGGGCCAGAATGCGAACCGCCCCCACAAGTGGCTTTGTGAAGAAGGATATATTAGTAATTAGGCTTCTGATTGATCATAGGGAATAAACACCAAGCTCGGACAATTCAGCACCCCCAACGTGCGTCTTCTTCCCCGAATATGGAATGAACTAACTTGCCCAAGATCCCAGGAAAGCCGAGCCAAGTTGGCCCCTGCTTTGGTTTCTCCCCGGCCTGGCACTCTGCGCGCAGGGTGCTGAGCTGGCGACTCATCGAGGCGCTCTCGGCTTGGATGGCCTTGCGACCCCGGGTCTGGAAGCACCTTTAGGTTTCGAAATGTGGCCAATCTTCAAGGCCAAATGGTAGACCACGAAGATGTCTTTCTAAAGGTTAAGCCAATCTTGCTCCCGGCTTTGCACAGCTCTGATGTTTTTAAACCATGTGCCCATGATGCCCAATAAGCAGGCCGGGTTTGCGCAAAACAATCGATTTGCTTCCGTTGGTGGCTCTCTGGCTATTTTTTGAGAACCTTTTCTGTGTGTCTCAAAATCGGGGAGAACTCGAAAATGGGTGATGTCCTCTGCAATTTCCCTTTCAGCCATAAGCCCACCAAAACTGAGCGCACCCGACTTGTTTTTTCTCGTGGGGATGAGAGGCTTTGGCGTTTGGCCCGCGCCTGGAGGGCCTTGTGCTGGCGCTCCATGCCCTGCTCCAGGGCATCCGAATTCCGGCGCCGCGCGTTCAGGTCCTCAGCTTCACTTCAGCCCGATACATGAAACGCCATGTGAATCCTGGCAATGGGTGATCTAAATACATGCTAGGGTGACCTATACCAAAGGTCAGATGTGGGTGAAAGTGGGTGCCTTCGGACCCAACAATCGGAACCGCTTCGAGGGCCATGTCATTTCGGCGCTGTCTCCAGCATCTTTCTTCTTTTCTGCATCTTTCTGCCCGCTCACTCCGAAGCCCCGAACCTAAGTCGCCTGGTAGCCGTTCTCCAGTCTCCGCTGCAGCTCCGCGAGGCGCTGCGTCTCCTGCGCCAACGCCTGGCGTCGCCCAGGGCCCGGGAAATCCAAATCCCGACTTGAATGTCCGTCCATGGTACACATCGGGCGAAACCCGAATCATTCGGGGAAACCCAAAGGAGGCAGATTTCAAAGGGCAACCCTGCCCCGAACCCACAACCGAACAAACCAACATGGTGGATTGGGAGCCTGAAAGGCAAAAAACCGAAGCAAAAAAAAATAACAGGTGAAACACGTCGTCTCTTTGTTTAGGCTAGTGTTTGCGGGTTCCACATTTTCAAACACACCGAAACACTACTCTTTGCGGGTTCCCCATTTTCAAACACACCCACCAGTCAAAAGGGAAGGTTCATAGCAGGATTTCGCTGCTTGAGATTCTGAGTCCCATCCCGTTTTCCACCGCGGACCATTGTTCTTGTGTGCTCTCCCTAGCGAGTTTAGACTCCCACCAGTGCCACTTGATCACCAGCAGTTGGTTCAAATGCCCGAAGACTCCAGCACACCTTTTTCCGGGCGACCTGTCGCAGCTTGTGAAATCGAAGGTGCAACCACCTTCAAAAAAAAAAGCGTGCCCTAGGCAAAAAGCGACTTGAAGGAAATGAAGCCCCAGCTGCAGAGTATGAGGATGGTGACGACCATGATCTGACACGTTTGATCTTTGGTTCACACGCCAAGTCCTGCAAAAGCATCTCCGGCCTGCTTGAGGATAAATTTCATCCACGTGGCAACGTCAGCAAAGTCTTGCATGAAGATGTATGGCCACCTGCAGCTCAAGGCATGTCAGCGATTGACTGACTTGACTTGATCGGACCTTCCGGTGACCTTGCGATTCACCATGAAGATGCAAATGTATAAGCTGCCTGCAAGAAACTGAGATCATATTCGCACAGTCGATGGCTAAGCGTCGCTAAGCGTCTGGCAATAAAAGACCCCAAACGCTACGTCTGACCAAATTGACAGCGTCTGCCGCAGGACTGCAGTTGGTCTCAGCCACATGTCCTCACAGGAATCGACCCGTGTCTGTCGCAGCGGAAAACTCGCCTGAGGCCTTTGAGGCCTTGCAGTCCTTTGCCCAATCCAAACAAACACAAATTCCAAGCCAACCTGGTGCCATGAAGAAGTTTGGACTGATCATATGTCCCAAATCCGACTCGCCCCTGCGAGTTTTTGCCCCGGAGTCCAGCACGCCAATGAAGAGAGCTGGCACGTGGAGCCAAACCTGCACTTCCCGGAAGGCCACTCCCTTCTCGGCCCAGTTCTTGCACTCTTCCTGGAAGCCTCGCGCTTCGCAAGATGAAAACGAGGGTTCCCAGTTGCTGGGAAACCAAAAAGGAAACCCGCTCATTTGGGCCTAACTTGAGACAAACCCAGCAAGAGCGCGAAACTTGGATTGCCTTTTGGTGAGATGAACCGAAAATGCTTTGACCCTTGAAACCAGAAAGATACCTGTTGATTCATCTGCCCAGCTACTCATGGGGCTGGCTCCCAGTTGAACCAGTTCAACGGCCATTCCTTGAATTGCCGTGTCGTTCATGTCAGGAAAGGCAGGCCCTTTTGGGGCGAATCGGCCACTGCCGGACCTGGTGCGGGCACAACAAGGGCGAAGTACTGAATCGTCACAAAGGCGCCCAGTGAGCCCACGCAAACGCAAAGCCCACTCCTCAGCTCTCGATGCTCAGGCCTTGTTGGACGAGAGCCGAAGCCTCAGCTCGCCACGTTTTGGCCGCCAGGAAAGGAGACCAGGGGGACAGCGCCGACAGGAGCTGATGCCACGCCTGCGTCGAATCGTCGCATGGCTGGGATTCGAAGCAGATTTTGCACCTGCAGCGCCAGGCAATGCCGCGTCAGGTAAATCCACTGCCCGAGCTTCTGCTGCGCATCGAAGGCGGGTTGGCCCTGGCCGGAATGCGGAACCAAAGGCCGCTGGTCCCGGGCTCGGGACGATCCCTTCCCGTCCTGTTGGGGCGTCGGCATTGCCTGGCGCATTTGCGTGGAAAACGGAAAGGCGCTTCCATGAATGCAGCAGGATCTTTGTTGGTTGGCTTCGAACGGGCCGTAAGTTTGCATACCCTCAAAAAGAGGATAGTTCAACAAAGCATTGCAAGGTTCTCCTCTTCCAGACGTGGGGGGTTGCCATTAACTTGCGATGCTTTTCAGAGGATTTGTCCATCGCCAATTGGGGCTTTCCGAAGGGTTGGACAGGAAGCTCTGCCAGGAAGAGCTAACAGAAAGTCAGCTGTCAGCTACTCCCATTCGCCTGGGAGTGCAAAAAGAGCGGCAGACAGGCGACCAGCGCCAGCACAGTTGACAACAGGCTAAAGGCTGGCGGAGATTCCACCTCGCCGCTGGCGAACCTGCGACATCTCGTGTCGGGAGTCGTTTCTTCTGAGAACCGGACCAAACGCCCCCCCAATGGGTTCTTCAAAGCGCAAGGAGTCGGAGAACCTGCAGGGGCACTGCAAGTCCCGTTCAAAAGTTGCAAATGTTCTGGTGGTGTCCCTTTGAAACTGCCACTTCTGGAGGTTCCACAAAGGGAAATGGAGGAACCCCTGACCCGGGAGGAGTCCTTTAGAACTCGCTGAAAAACCAAAACCGGATGCGGGCAACGGCACATCGAGCCCAGTACCAGGTACCAGGGGCCGAAGAGCAGGACACCTCAGCTTGAGGTTCGGCTGCTCTCCAGCTGGGTCTTATGTCATGCACATGTGGTTGTTGTTGTTTGCAGTTGTTTCCTCTTTTCTTGTGTAAAGACAGATTTGTAAGAAGACATTTACATATGATTGAAAAACCTAGTATACACACATGCAAATATGTATTGCTGCGCAAGCTTCGCAGAACATGAATTGGTGCGTTGCTAAGCCGCAATTGCCTGGCTCCCTTGTGTCCAGCATGCTCGGATGTCACAAAGTTCAACTTCAGGACTGGTTGAGCCCGATTCATGGACTCCTCAAGCGAAAAAAGATGCACCCGAAAAAGGCATCCCAGTTTGGGAGGGCCAAAGGTGATGAGCTTCTTCTTCGCAACCGTTCAACCTGCCCATCAAAAGGGAAGCCAAAGCTGTTTCTGTGGGTCCCTGTTCAATAGGGACCGCTGGGGATCCATATCCTAGGACGAACACCTTGATGGCGTTGCTTCTGTCCCAGGCCATCGCAACATCTCGGCAAAACCCAGCCACCACCCCTTTGCCAAAAAATCCGAAAAAACGCCCTCACTCGCAGGCAACGCTTTTGGTTTCAAATGAGAGAACGCTTTTGGTAACCCGAACTCAAATGAGAGAAGGGCTGAAGGGGGAAGAAGAAATCGGGTTCCATTGAGGCCCAGGGGCCAGCTGCATCTTTGATCCCGTTCTGCTTCTTCAGCTCTTTTTCCGCTGCGCTGTAGCCATCCCACGCCGTGCCGAAGAGCTCCATGGCGAAACCCCCCGTTGCGCAAACTGGGTTCAGCGCGTTTAGATGTCTGGGGTTTCCGAAACCGTGCTGGCTTTGAAAGCAGCCATAACAACTCTAAGCCGGAGCTGCAAGCCCAAGCGTTCTCCACCTGTTTTACATCCACTCAGCCTGACGTCCCGGGTGAAGAGTGCCCAAACATGTGCGGCCTCGATCTTGCAATTGCCATAAGTTCTGCCAACAATGGGCCAGAACAGCTGCTGGGCTGTGAGCTTTGCGGCGAGTGCGCCAAGCCCCGGCGTGCGGCCCACGGGAGGGGGAAGCCCTTTGGGTCTTTTCAGAGTCCACCTCAACCTAAACAGGGTTTCTTATGTCGTCCACCTGAACAGTTGCCCCTCCCGCCAACAAAACATACGTGGGTATGGGTCAAAATGAAACCACCAGAATACCGCAGGTTGTAGTCCATGACTCCATTTACCAGGGTGCCATTTCGGGGTTACCGTATTTTTCACCCACAGCCATGCGGCCAAACTCCCCGTGCGCCCGCCTGCTTCTCCGCTTCCAAGGCCTTCGCGGCCAACAGCTCCTAGCTTCAGCTCGCGCTCAGAAAATCCGCTTGGCGGTGGCATGCGGTGGCGATGCTGATTTGGCTGTGGCTCAGAAAATAGAAGGACGGTAACCCCCAAATGGAACCCTGGTAAATGGAAACATGGACCAAAACCTGTGGTCCCCTGGGGCATTTGCATGCTTGAAGAACAATTGGTGAAAGACTGGAGCAACTCGATTCGGGATAGGTAAAAGCAAGGAGGATCTCTGAGTTGACTTGCCTACTATTATGTCCATGGTGAGAAACGCTTCAGGTCCACAGCCACTTTTCAACAACTGAAATCTAAAATTCCACATGACGGTCTCAAGTTGTTCTAAGAACATGGGCAGGTTGGGGCCAACGCCCATGATGCCATGGGCTTTCCTGAACCAAAGGCTTCCATATAAAAAAGCAAATAGCAAGACCTCAGTCTGAAAGCAGAACATAACAACAAGTGAGTGCCCAAAACCCCTTCCTTTTTGGGAGTTACCAAAAGGAAAACCGAATCCGAAGCCTCTTGCTTCTTGTTTTTTGCAGGGGTGGTCCGACGGCCGCTTGGGATGGGCGTTGGGGGGCGCTGACCCTGGCTTCGGCCGGGCTGCGGCGCTCTCTTGCGACAGCCGGAGCTGCCGTGGGCGCCAGACTTCCCGCAGCCAGCGCAGCTGCGCCTGACGAAACCGACCACTCGGCAGGAGGTTTTTTCTGGAGGGGAGACTCCTACCCCCCCACCCCCACTGTTTGGAGAAATCCGTTGTGTTCTTCGAACTTTGATGGACACCAGAAGTACATGCTTGGATTTGTGTGTTTGCCCTTTACCCTCCATTTCGCCTGGTTTCCAGGAACTGGTTTCCAGGAATCAACAACAATCGTTAAGCAACTGCCTAGAAGGACTGCCCCTCTTCATTAGATGGCAGTGAGTGATGGGTGATATAATGGCTAAGAAACCTTGCCTATGGTTGCTTGACTTGACTCAAGGGTTGCCATCCTCACACCACTTCACTCACAGAGTGAGCAAACTCTTGCTCAAGCACCTTGGTACAAGGAATGGAGAGGGGCGCAAACTCATAGAGTTGAGGCATTGGTCAAGAGGATGTCATACGAGAGGGATTGCTTTGCAACATCCAGAGTTGATTAGTTGTTTGGCTTCATCCTAAGCTAAGAGCCACTGAGTGGCTGAGGTCTTTCAGCTTGCAATCGGAATCGATCCAAGAACCCGATCCCATGGCATTGCCTTTTGCTCCATCTCCATGGCTAGGAGCTCGAGCTTGAAAAGTGCGAAAATCCGACTGGCTCGAGCTCGACTGACTGAGACATCTTGCTCGCAAATAACGCGGCGAAACTGGAGATTATGTCCAAGGACGCCTTGAGCCAAATCCCGGCGAGTGTCGTGTACCCGTGAGAGTGTACCCAATGAGCTGTGCCCCAATTCGCTGGGGAGTCGTGCCCATTGGCTATGGTATGGAGTCACCAGTCGGGGTATTCCCGCAGATTTTTGGGGTAAATATAAACTGCATATAGTTGTTCCCGGATGTCCATCCATACAAACACCCAGCAAACAGTTGTCTTGACGCCACATGTGAGACAATCAAATACGCGGCTCCTTAAAGTCCCCTGGTGCTTATGGCAAACTTGAGTTGCTTCATCATGTATCTCCCCAATGGACCACAGACTACTATATAGTTTGACCAAACCTTTGGATTATTGGGGCTTTCCAGTCCTCGCACTACTGTATGTTAAGAGCGGCACCAGCTCACATGTTCCAGTACGCACGGGTTTAAGCCTCGGATGCGAAACGCGCCAGGTGATTTTGCATGGGCCCTGAGTCCGTTATGTGCTTAAGGACAATCCATGACTCCATGTACTGCACCAAAGGTGCCAAATAAAATATATTAGGTATATTATACCTTTACAAGCAGCCAGAGATTTCAAGGTCCCACTGACATGTCGCCAGAAAGGGTTCGGAATTTCGGAATTTCGGAATCCCGAGCACGCGATCTCCCTCATGCGATCCGAGGCTGGCGCACCAGTCCTGTGCGGTGCCCCTCGGAAGGGAAACAACCCGTGTTTTGTGGACGTGTTTTGTGCTTGGAATGCCATCGGTCCAAAATGGTCCAAATACTGACACCATGTGACATGCCATGTGGTGCTTTGGGTTGGCAAAGGAACATGCAGTACCTGCCCAACAAACCAACTTCTCGAGCACCATCTCTAAGTACACCCATTGTCTGTTTGCTGTATTTTCTCGGGCTATGAACGCCTATCCAAACCATCTCTAAAACCCTAAACCAGCCATTCTATGGACACTAAACCCAGCCTAACTCAAATACAAAGCGAGCATAAAGCCTAGCTTAGCTTAAAATCACGTGTGTATCCGCCCGAACCTCATCCCAAATCAACCTGCCGACCTGCCAACACCAACCCCCAACAACCCTCAACCCTGCTAAACCCACCCTGAAATCAAGCCTAAACCCATCCTAACCCATGGGCAACCTCAGGCCCCTAAGACATGAATCAACCAAAGAAAGTTCCGATACGCCAAGTCTGAACCGACCCTGGGCCCCTAATCCAAACCCCAACCTTCACTTAAGCGGACTCCCGATCGAAATCGCCATTTCGCTAACGTGATCGTAATTTTCAGAACTGCTGACAACACATCTGCGCCTGCACATCCTAGCCCTGCGGCCCTCAAATCTCAATGCTTCACATGCTTGAAGGGAAACCAAATCGTGCCATTTTCAAGCTTGAGAACGGAGCTCCCGGCTCCCGAGTCCTTCTCTCGCAGCAATTCCTCCAAGAGCGGGCGCCAGGGCCCCCGGGGATCCGGAGGCCGCATGTGCTCAGGGTCGTCCTCGAGCCGAGCTCATCTCATGGATCCGACTCCCGCCATCCCTGAAACCAAAACGGGGAAACCACCAGCTGTTGTTGAGGATTGACTTTGCACCGAGGCAAAAGGGGCCCCCTCTCCTCTAATTTGAGTCACTGTCCCCGTTCGGTGCCTGATTGCCCCAGAACCCTAGAGGGCTAAGGAGGCGACCAAATTGAACCTGAAGACCCCAAACCATGACCAACACGTGCAGTTTCTCATAAGAGGCACGTGAGAATGAGTTTTTGCTCCCCCTTTCAGAACTCACGTTTCTCAGGTGCGCTCCTCCCCGTGCGCACGGTGACCATCCTGGCGGCCCCATGTGTCACTCACGAAATCCTCGCGAGCCCAGTCTGTTTGCGTCTCGATCTGCTTCAGTGCCTTCAACATAAGGCCCAACGCGCGATGGGCTTCAAAAGCATCACGGCGCGTCTAAAAACAAAGCGTCCATGCACTCTCCATAGATCTCTTTGCACAGCTCGGTTGTGGATGTGGGCTCAGAGTGACGCGATTCGCTGGTCCGCCTCCCAGGGCTCCACTTGGAACATGGCGCCCTGGCGCCAAGCCAACGGCGCCCGACACCCCCCTGCCCCCTCCCTCCCAGTGGTTTTGTTTTTGTTGGAAAAAACAAAAATAAAGAGAAAGTTGCAACGCCAAAGGAAAACGGAAAGATATGGTCCATTCCCTCACAGGACTCCTTGTCATGGCTGTCTGAATTCAAAAATCAAGGTGTCCATAACCATCCAACCTCAAGTCACAAGGTGCTTTGACCATGGATGTCTTCGAATGCGGATGGAAAATCCACTGAGCTGGCTATCTTGATACCAATTCTCTTTCGACTGGAAAAAAACACGGGGGTCCTTAAAGACAAAACCGCCTTTCCAACGTCAGATTCCCTCCTCTTCTGATCCCCACGTGCTCACGCTGGACAGAAGGGCCTTCACCTCACGGGCCGGCAGATGCCCAGTGAGCGCCCAAAGCTGGCGCTGCGAGAGCTGCTCCTAACGACGCGAAGGGTTTCGGCAAGGGCGTCAAATGTGTTGCTTCCGCAGGATCTCTGGTATGACCCAAGGAAAGATCACGCGGGTTTCCTTTAGCCCCCCATGCCCGGAAAACCTTGAAGGGAACCTGCGAAAAGAGCATGACTGGGTTCCATTGGAGAAGAGCAACCTTTCAAATGGTTGTTTATTTTTGCTTGATGGTACTCCTGTTTTTGAGGGAAACCCAAAGCCAACTCTGTGGGTCCGACAAAACAGCAACAACACGCAAGCGATTGAACGCGATTGAAAGCGATTACAAACCGTCCCTTGGCTTTTTGGTTGGATCGCGGCGCCGGTCATTTTGGCGGCTGGAAGCCGCGTCCTCCACCTGCGCCATGGAGTGCAGCGCCTCGTAGGTGGCGGCGCACCGGGCGCCCAGCAGGCTGCGGCGCGCGGCCCGGTGCACCTGGCATCGGCGAAGCGCGCAGCTCGACCGCAGAATCCGGTGCCTCAAACATCGGCCTTTCCTTGGCTTGGACCCTTTCTTACGAATTAAGGGTTACCAGGATCAAAACAAACCCGATCCAGTTCTTCTTGAAGTCGTCAAAACCTGGTAACAAAAACGAGTAGTACCAATGCCAAAATAGGGAAACCAACCCTGCGAAAAATGGTGTGACACAAAATATTGTACTGGGAATACCCGAAGCACCCAATGCGCATGGAACTCAGCCAACCTAAACGGGTGGTCTTCTGTTCGATTTTGCCGGCACCCCAAAGCGAGTCATATTCAAAGCTTGGCACAGGGGTCTACCCGAATCCCATGGTCAGGAATGAAAAGGCTCTGTACAGACGTTTGACTGGAGTGAAGCCGGCCGAGCGCCCTCCCCAGCATGTAGGCAGTATATTTGGTGCGCAAAACACAACAAGCAAACCATATGCCGTGTGTGTCTATGAGGAGATGATGAACATGCTAGAATGTGCTACTACTCACCTGCTCCATGCGAAAGTCAAGCAACCTCACACAGCTAGGGTGATGCTGCTTGTTCTCCTGCAGATTGACGGGGAAGCTATGGGGTCTCTGAGAGCGGGGTTCCGCAGTTTGCAGGGAGCGGTTGCACTGGACGATTGCCGGATAGGGCCGGAGGATTCCATGAAGCAGCTGCCATTGTGGGGCTCTTGGTGGCACGGAGTTCTGATGGGTTTCGGAGGGGTTCCGGCGTGGTGTGGGTTCGGGTTCCGAGTGGTTCGAATGCGCCAAGGTTCCGGTTGGGGATACCATCTGTGCGCGGGCCCGTTCCCCTGCAAAAACCCACCTGTTTCGAGGTCCGGTCCAAACTCGCCGACTCGGCCTCTGCGACGTTGAGCTGTTTGTACCTGGTATCGGCCAGGCGGCTCTCCATGTCTGGCTCCTGGAGGCTGGCCTGGTCAGCTTCCCGGGCACAAAGTCCCAGGCCCATTGAGATGGGTTGCACCCTTCGCCTTTGAAAATCCAGGCAACAGCTTTAAAACTTTTGGTCAAATTCGAATCTTGGGGTTTCGTGGGCCAGCCCGGGACCCCGCCTGCGGAGAGACCGCTTTGGCCTCCGATGCCTGCATTCAGCCCGGTTTCCAGTCCGGCATTCCCCTCCGGTTTTGGAAGATCAGGCTCCTCATGTTGGTGAATGGCTTATCGTCCCTTCAATCCACGAACATGGCATCTGATGGCACGACGTTTCACCACAATTGGCCTTGCTGCGGCGAACTTCATCCCACAATGCTGGCCTCTCTCTCAACTGGCAGCTCTGCCAGTGTGCCTTTATCCTGCAAGACCAAATGCTGCAATCCGAGCGATTTGTCCGTCTCGGCAGGAAAAGCGAACAGTATAATAAAATAGCCGTTTACTCTCAGCAGAGGACACACCTAGTCCCTTGTTGCAGGATCCCAAGAATTCGATCCCTCCGACACTGTCTGTGGGTTCTCCCAACGGGGATGCCCTATGCGCCAATAGATGTGATGCCGCCCAGCCTCTGGACATGAAGTGAAGAAAGATTCGGCTGAGGTCTCCTACGCATGAGGCATTCGGCCGAATGCGCTGAGGGCTGTGAATGTTCAAAATGTTCAACACATCCACCCCTCGTGATTTGAAGGGAGACAGGGCAATCACCCCTTGGACGAAAGACAAGCCCGGGGATGCATTTTGCACGAGGACACTTTGCGTTGAGCTCTTGCTCCTCACAGGCCTTCTGCCCACCGGAGGAGAGCCAGCCAATCCACACCTGTCCAGCGCCCTTACGGGCGATGTTCAGCTGGTCAGGCAGCGAGCCCCAAGTCTTTGGGAACAAAATGGCCGGCGCCTGCTGAAGATGAAAGAGCAGGTGCGAGGTCTCCTGCGTGTCCTCACCTTACACGCACGCCAGATCTCGGCCATTCGCGCGAGCGACAAGATGTCTGAGTTCTGCGACCATCTGCGTCAGCATTGGGCTCCTGACTCAGCTCTTCAAACCCTCGTGCTGAGAAGCCCTTCAAGGCCAAACGCTCACTTTCGTGTAGCTTGTTTGGAAACACTGCATGCCCAGGACAAGCACGTGGATCGAGTTTATCAAGTTCTCAAAGCCATTCACAAGTGTCGCCGAAAAAAAACACTGGGACTGAAATGCTTGAACCCTTTCTTGGTCGCTCCTCTTGCTCACCCAAAACGGAATCGCCAATTTCGCGACACCCGGTTGATGGATTGCCGGGGCTGTTTAGCCACGGGAAGCGGGGGTCTCCTGCAAGTGGGTCAGCAACTCTTCAGCGCGCCAGTCCGGGAGGCCTGGTGGCGTTCCGCAAAATGAGCCATGGGCAACCTTCATTGTGCCAACTGACCTTCATTGCATGTTTGCATGTGATGCATGTGCTTGTGTGTCTGTGTGTGTCCTTGACTTACAGCAAGGATTTTATGGAGCGCTTGCTCAAATGCATCAAACCCCGAGCTTCGTTCTCCGCGCTTCCTGGGCACTTTGGCCCGGCAGGTTGGGTCGCAGGATCTCAGGTCTCGCTGCGCCCGAGGCTGCGATGGACTCGAGCTGTTGGCATCTTGGAATCGAAGGGTCGCTGGCCGTGCTCGAGGGTCCCTGGATCCAGTCTGGAGCCTCTCCTGTTGGAAGTCCGAAATCTGCACTTGAAGTTCAGCTCGCATGTCACGTGCACCACCAGGTCCATACCTGGCAGGTCAAAGAGACCTGCAAAAAGATCATGTCTTTGCAAGCGCGAGTGGTGAAAGAATGTTCCAAACAAATTGAAGCCAAATGGTCAGACCAAAGAGTTCAAACTATTGTCGAACATCTTGTCGGTGGCTGACACGGGGTTGAGTTGAATCGGTCAGTCAAGTCTCTCAATCAGATTACATCCGCGTGTTGTAGGGTCCCTTGTGTCCCCTTTCCAAAGCGCTCCATCAAAATCCCCAGGTGAGAGGCGGAAACAACCGGGAAGGGAACTGAAAGCTGAGATCCTCCACGGTTGGGTCCTTCTTCGCGGAGTCAGTTCTTCTTTTTGCACCGACCCATCTGCTTCGGCCGGGGTGCCACGCCGCGGCCCTGGTCCACTTTGCCCCAGCGCAGCAGGCGGCCCACCTCCTCCATCTGGCGCACGGCGTCCAGGTCCACCCACTGCGCCAGGATGCCCAGCTGAGGGTCCAAGATCAGCTTGTGGAGCGCCTCAAGGCGACGTTCTTCGACCAAGAACTGGCCGAAGGGACAAGCGGAACTTGGGTCGTGTACCACCCAACTGGCTGAAGGGACAAGCGGAAGTTCGGGTTTGTACAAGCTGGAAATATATATATCTATATATATATTTATATATATATATATCGGTTCCCGGCAAATCAGAAACAGCAGTGGCCCTTGTTCAGCGCATTTACCATGCCTCTTTGAAGGCTTGGCAGAGGGGGACCACCTTCCCTTTGGTTTCAAAAGGATCTAGGGCATCACAACCCCAAGACCGATCCAAACCACCAACGAATGGCCGCATGGAAGGAATCCTTGCCAACCACGATTATTTGGTTTCACCACCTGCATAACAACCTGCATTTGGGCGTGTCGTTGTTTTGGGGTTGCCCTTATTGGGTTGGTTTAAAGGGAAAACAAAAGAATAAAAACAATTTAGTCCAATAAACAAAAACGACACGCCCGTTTGACTCAGAGCAACTCATGTTGGTTTCTCTATGTAGGGGTCCGTGCCCACTTGCCAAACGTGCTTTTCGGTCCTGGCCTCGTTAAAGGTGTCGATGTCCTCACTTCAGCGTTGCATACAGGAAGATCCCACCCAAACACAACCTGGAAAAACAATGGACAAGAAAAAACGTGGTGCCGTTGTCACGGACCTTCAGGCTCCAAACCAGGGTCTTGGAGAGATTCACTTGTCTCCCATCACCCCTTCCTTTTTTGAGAGTTCTGCGACATTTGCAAGAGGCAGATAGCCACAGAGAAGGACAACTTGCTGCCCTTCCCATTCTGGGCCCAACATGTTGGGGGTTGCCCCGGCCCCCCTTTATTGCGGTAAAATGGGACTAGTGGGGCACGAAACCTGGAAAACCAAAGGGTCTGGTTCGCCGAGTGTCTGGGATCTTGGACAGGATCTCTTGAACATCCTCTGGCCTGGACGCCTGCATAAACTCCACCCGCATGTCTTCCAAGTCCCCGATGTGCTGCTCTAGCGCTGCCTGGATCCATTCAAACTGTGGGCCATGATCGTGGCGCCCTTAATTGAAATCCTTTGGCTGTCCCCATGAGTAGGTTGATCACCGATGACCATCCCTACCAACCACAAGGAAACTGACCATGGCACATGGTTGAGTCTTCCCAAGAGGCACCATCTCGAGAGGCCCAAAAAAAATAACCGAATGAACCTTCCAAATTGAAGGATGTACCTGGATGTCGCTCAAAATTAGTAGACCCTCCGCAAATGGTTGGTTTTCGTCCCGATCGAAATCAGCCAGTTTGATTGAACCACTGGTTTCCAGCTTCATCTGAGGCCCCAAAAAGCCATGGCCCCTGGCCATCAAAATTACTGGTGTCCCCATGGGAAAATGAGCGAGTCCCTTGGATTGAAGCGAGCCCTGCCAAATGAACCATCATTTTGACGGGTTCTCAAAGCGATCCATCCCCCAAAATCTTGCCTTCCCTCGGAACCAAGCTGCAAGGCCACCAATGCCTCAACTACCTCTAGTTGAATCCAAACCACCAATTGAGCACCTGAAAGCCACATCTAAACCATCTTTTTGATGGCACCCTTGATGGCAAGGGCTCAAGGAAACCAAATGAAAGCCCTTGCCATTTTGGGCGCTCCCATCTTTTCAGACACATCCTCGCCGTCCGGGCCAGCGGCTCGGGAAGGCATCTTCACGTGCTGCGGCATGTTGAGCCTCCTGGCCTCAGCCAGCTCCGCGATGCACCAGGCGCGTTGGAACAAGCCGAAGGACCCGTCCACAGCGATGAGCTGGGAGAAGTCCGGGTCGCCTTGAGCGATGACCTGAGTGGGTTGGATTGGGGGTTACTCCAGTACCCTTTGAAGCCAAATGGGGAAGGTACCCGCTAACGTCCAAGCAAAGGTGACTAAGAGCGAAGGAAATACAGAAAAATAATCTGACGGGCAGGCCTCGCTTTGGCGGAGTTTTGGGGCGGAACATTCTAGAAAGATCCAGTTTTTTCCAAACCAAAACCTCCTGTTTGATCTGGTTGCTGACCTGCTCTTCGGACATAATGTGTAATCCGCCCGGGGGGCTGCGGGTCCTGACCGAAAAGTGGTTGCTGCTTTCTGGCTGTCACAACCTGAAGATTTTGGACCCAAAATCAGAAAACAACATGCTCCCCAGAGGCATTGGGCCCTGTGAAAAATCAATTGAGGTGGAACCCGCTTCTCGCCCTCAGAAATCAACACTCTAACAATGCAAAGATTCCCAGTCTGTCAAACGTGCTGACTTTCAGCGCAGACTTTGGCCTTCTCAAACACACCACAAATAGACCACCAACTGGTTGGATCCAAGAATGGACATCAAACCAACCATGAATCTTCCCCGCTCGACCGCTCGACGCTTTCTTTTACGGTCGATTTCCCCTCCCAACAAAAACATATCGAAAATGGGGGTCCCGTTTGGGGGGCTCTCTCGATCTCGTGACCGCCATCATGTGGTCGAACTTGTTCAGCTCGCAGGAAAGGCTCCGGCCCCTGGAGTCCAACGGCGCCGTGCCGTTCAGACACTTCGGCACGGAGCAGTCGCAGGCGACAATCGGAACCCCGGTAGAGTCCACCCCCTCGCTCACGCTGCAAATGCCTCTCGACATGAAAGCGGCACAAGCAAACAAGCAAGCAAACAAACAAACAAACAAACAAACAAACAAACATACAACTAATTATCAGGGGCAAATCAAAAAACAACAAACCACCGCAAAAACTCTACCAATCAGTTCAGGATTCTAGTGTGCTGGTTCACCGCAAAGGCGCAAATCCAATAGGTGGTCGACAGCTGGCCGAGATCCTGACCCGGCGGCTTCCATGGACACACAAACAACTAAACTGCAACACGACAATCCAAAAACAAAAGCATCAGAATCAAAGCTGAGCTCTTTGGTTGTCAAAACCAATGAAAATTGCCCGCTCTTGTGCCAAGCAAGGTGCTGCAAATCACGAAATCACCCTGAAGGGCACCCTCCAAGCACGGTTGCTGTCATTCTTCCCTAGCCACAGTGACCGTTTATAACTTAGAATGCAGGAAAGGCTATCAACACGCACCCAAATGGATCCGTCCGTAAGTAGCAGCCTTTTTCTGGATGCTGTTGAAAGGAAACCAGAGGCAAATCAACCAGCTGGAGGGAATCCTACTCATGAGAAACGCGCAAATCACACCAACCGCGCAAACTTCACAAACTTCAAAACATCATCACAACATCTCACAAATCACAACCCGCCTACACAACCACGAAACCACACACACACACACAACATGCACAGGAACACGCACACGCACAAGCACATGCGCACGCGCACACACACGCACAAGCACGCACACTCACAAATCACAAAGCACAAAGCACGCAAATCACCAACCAATCAGTCCCAAATCAAGAACAAACCGCTCCTGAATCACATGAATCACGAACAACTTCGACATCTCAAGCATCGCAAAAAGAAGAAGAAGGGGCGAACACCTCCAAAGATCACAGTCCGAAACTCCAAAGCTTTTGCTCCAAGTGCCACTGTGGTACTGTGAGCATTTGCTCCAAGAGCTGCACGTCCGAGAGGGCCTTGGCCACCAAGGCGAAGGTGAGCTCACCCAGGCCGTCCGCCACCACCGCCGCCACGAGGTCCCGAAACCTGACGATGTGAGCCATGGGAAATGGCACAGGTTGCCAACTCGTCAAGTTGAAAGCAATCGGGTTTTAAAGGGAATTTGGCGGTCCACTAAAAAGACACCCATTTGGTTGAGATAAAGCTTTGAATGTAGGCTTCGCTCAGATGGCAACCAGATTTGAAGACATCGCCAGGACTCCAGCATAGAGAAACCTTTTGGTGTGTCTTTTGAGGGCGCCCATTTCGGGTTTAAGGAAATGGTACGAGACATTGACCAGCCTTGAAATGTTCGGCTGTGGCGGAAGAAGAAAAAAATGGCACGGGAAATAGAAAAAAGGACTACCTGCATAACCGTAGCTCTTGGTTTTGGAGCCACCCAAAAGTGAGAGACACTGTTGAACCGACAGGGAAAACGACCCCAACTGGGGCTAATGAAAAACAGGATCCTACCGCAGCGGTCCGAACGGTGTTACCGATTGAACTGATTTGGTCAGCACCCAGCGATTGCTGTTGTCCAGAACCCCAAGTGCTGTCAGCAAACAGTGGGTTGAAGAAACGGTTGCTAGTTGTTCTTCTAAAACTAAACGATGTGAGAGAAACTGTTGAATCCAGCAAGTCAGAGAAACCACTAGCCTGATTTACATACAAGTGTCAAACATATGTTGTTGAACAGTTATGACTTAGGCGTTTACAGTCTAAAGGAAAAATGGTTGCGGTCTGCGAGTTATGATAACATCTTCAGACTGTGTTCGTTCAAAAACAAACTGTTTCAAACGAGAAAGCTACAATATTTCCTCCTATGGAAAATAACATAAGCTCAATGCCATAAACACCTAGGAAGCGGTCGTTCCAAAGGCGATACGTGGTATTCCAAAAGCAGAGGAACAAGTTGTCCCAGCTGTGCGTCACCATGTGCTGGGCCCTCACCGCTCGGCCTGGAAGGATTCAGAGATGGAATTCAGGGCGGTTTTGCCGGGGTGGTGTTTCTCATGGCCTGTGAAACGGCCTTTTGGAACTTTTCAGAAAGGTCACCCGTCCAGCTTATTCAGCTTTGAGAGAGGGGTCATGGCAGGTGTCCCTACCAAGTTTCCGACTCTTTCCCACGAATCTTGACATTTCACCCTCCAATCTGCCTCTTTGGGTTGCTCATGTTACGTGTTGCCCGCCAACGTTGCCCTCACCAACTCCGCTCGCGTGGTCCGTTCTTGATTGTCTCCTATTGGCCCGCCGTTTCTGACTTGTTCCACAAATGGTGATCACTGTTGTTCAAGTTTCCCGTGCTTCTTCGTCTTCATTGTTGCGTCTGTACCAAAACAGAGAACCCCAAAACTGTGGTTCGGCTTCCTGCTTTTGGCTTCCCTTCAAAACCAGCCAAAAGAGGGTGGCACCCTCCAATAATTGCATCAAATCACGAGTCTCTACCCAAAACCCTCCAACTGTCGAGCTGGGTACCAAAAAAGGGTTCAAATATGGTACCTCCAAAGAAACCGCAAACTTCAGGAAAGCCTTCGGAACCCGCGCCCGTCCTTGGGCCACCTGTGTGGCATAGGCCTCCCCGGAGCTTCGGGTCGCCGGGATCACCGCCTGGCGCACCACGTCGCGCGTGGTGTGCACCGAGGGGTCGAAATGGGGCATCAGGTCCTGCGATCTTCGAATTCGATTTCGCATTTTTGGGTTGGCTCGGATGGTGTTTCTATCCCGCGGATTTTTGTCCCTTCCGAAGCCTGAGATTTCGACCACTGCGGCCTGACGCGAAGTTGACAAGAACTTTTGGCCATCCCCTGAACGTATGCCATGTTCACAACCCGTTGTGTGGTCCTGGTTCCTCAATCCAAACCTTTACATTGGTTGTCTAAACCTCCAAGAGGTGACCATATGTAATCAGCCTCCCTTGGATTGGTTTGGAGGTTTCCAAACAAAACCCACTAAAAGCACAAAATTGACATCAACAAACCACAAATCCCAAAAAACAAATTTAGGGTTAGCTGAGTGGCAGGCCTGGAGGAACGGAAGGTCCTCCAATGGAACCTCCAAATGGGTTCCAGGTTTGTCCTTTGGTTTTCAAGTCTAATCAACAAATCGACGGGGTAATGTTGTTTCGGCATTCTCGACACGTCCAATTCAAACATCAGACCGCAAACGGAAACTAACCTTGAAATGTGTGCTTTCCGAAGGGAGTATGGGGTTGGACGCAATCAGAGCGGTTGGATGCATCGAAGCCATATAGTGAATCGCGGCTTCAAACCGTTGACACAAGAGTTGGAACGTGCGGCTCCAGAGCCAAGTTGAAGCCCGCCCCAAAGAAAAGGAGGCTGAGACTATTTTGGCTCAGGTCCCCTTGGAACCAAAGCGATTCTCCTTCAGGGAACCATATTCTGGAAAGGTTGGTCAAAAGAAAGGTGGTTCATGGAGCTCTGAGAAGGAGGTGTCTTGTTTGCCACAGGGGGAGGGTATTCTGGAAAGGTTGGTTAAAAACAATTGTGGTTCATGGAGCTCTCCCGAGAAGGAGGTGGGAGGGGTACCGGAGCCGGTACCGCCGCGCCTTGCCCAGGCGCTTGTAAAATCCCAGCAGAGCCTGCAGGGGTGAGCCAATTTCTTGTTTGAACATTTTTAAGCAGCTATTGTGTTTGCACCTTTTTACACGCAATCTGATTACAATGTTGCGATATTTATCATTTTGAGGATGGCTACAAGTTCATTCAGTGACTTTCAGTTGGGGCCTGTTCATGCAAGCCAAACCTGGTATTAAACGTGGTCAAGTCTTCAAGTGGCCTACCCAAAACCACTAAAGACTTACAAAGGGCGGATATCCACATTGGTTGGGACTGTCGCTAAGCATCGCCTTGCTTGCTCGTCTTTTGGTTTCTCAACGCCCATGGATTGGTTCAAACAAATCCTGTGCGGCTGGTGCCCCTGGTGTCCTTTCAAGGGGGTCCGGGGGTCAGGAACAGAGCCTCACAACATCACACACACACACACACGCACACGCAGATCCGTCCTCCAAGCTGATTCCTCGGTCCGAGAGTTCTTGGACCTTCCGGCGCCACTCGGGGTCCATGACGTGCCGCAGCCTTTGCCTCGCTGGGCGAAGCCAAACAGGGCACGTTGCCTTTCTCTTGTGACGCTTGGGAGTGTATATATATATATGTATGTATGTATGTATGTATGTATGTATGTATGTATGTATGTATGTATGTATGTATGTATGTATGTATGTATGTATGTATGTATGTATGTATGTATGTATGTATGTATGTATGTATGTATGTATGTATGTATGTATGTATGTATGTATGTATGTATGTATGTATGTATGTATGTATGTATGTATGTATGTATGTATGTATGTATGTATGTATGTATGTATGTACATACGTATGTATACATATATACATATATACATGTATATCAATGTGGCAAGAAAAGGTGACCTAAGGAGACCTCCAAAAGAACTCCAGGGATGGATGTCTATTCATTCATGGTTCCCTCCGTATCAAGCTGTGCTTTGACCAAATTCCTTAGGTTGACCATCCCTACTTGCTTCATAGTCTGAATTGGGGAGCCAGGGCATCGTTCACATGGTTGGATCTATGTCCACGGGAGTTCCCAAGTTGCCTCTGGCGGCACCAGTTCAAGCGCCCTTGCTGCGCGATGCGCGCGTGCATGTGGGGCAGAACCAGGGCGATCAAGACGAGGACATGCACAGAGGGCAGTACCTGGGTCGAGCCAAAACCTGAGTGCCATTGCGATTTGTTCAAGTAATACCCAGGCTCTTGGTATCTTTCCCTGTTGGTGGATTAAGGTTGGGGGTCAGGTCCAGCTTTGTCTCATGTGAAACAAGCTTTCGACCGACATCAAAACGGGAAGATATCCGCACTTGTTTCTGGCTGGTACTGTCCCTACCAGCCTTCAACCTGATTATGTTGCAGATCCACGTCTGCTTTCCGGCAAGACACGAAGGACATGTACCAGAGGGCGTAGTTCTGATCGATATAAAGGTCGATGTTATCCCCCTCGAACTTGAAGGCGCGCGCATTGGAGACCCCCACCACCGTGCCCACTATGACGCTCAGCGAGGCGCTGCAGAAATAGTTCACGAACTGACGCGCTGCCCGGTCCTTGGCGCCCTGCAAAACTTTGGAGCTTTCGCCCTGCTTGCTTTCGCAGTCCAAGGCAATTTGGTGGTACTTCTGCAGCTGGCAGTAGATGTAGACCAGGACACTCAGCATCTGTGTGGCGGAGATCAAATATGCAATGACCAGCAGAACGCTGCAGCAGACTCGCACCTCCCCAATGATGCCAGTTGCCTCAAAGGGAAGGAGGACAATCAAGGCGAGCACCACCTGAAGCCACCAAAGAATCGATATATTGATGTATAGGCAAGTTCCACGCTTTCCAGCAATGGCTCTCAGGCACTTGAGTCTGTACAGAACGAAGGCCTCCACATTCAGGGCAACCACTGCTTGCATAGAGCCGCGCAAGAACAAGGAGGTGCTGGGCTGCGTGAGCACGCGGTAGTTGCGGAGGATCCACCAGTCGAAGCCCGGCCAATGCAGAAAGCCTGGGGCGCACTTCAGCACGAGTTGCCCTGAGCCCGGGCCGGCCGGAGCTCGCCAATACCATCCCTCGCAGAGTTCAAAGGCGAGCTCGTCCATGGCGGTGGCAAGCGCGTAGATGGTGACCACAAGCAGGAACAGGCCCTGGAACCACAAATGCCAGCTCCACGCCATTCGGAACATCTTCACCGAGGTGAGAGCTGCCGCCAAGGACGCCATGCACGGTAAGAAGAAGACCCAAGGGTGCTGGTGGCACTGGGGATCCGCAGCTTCTGTGTTGGGGTTTTGGACCTCTTGGATGAAGTGCTGGACGGACTCGTGGTCATAGCCCTGACTCACCATGGCCTCGTGGAAGCTCTTCAGGTCAATGCCTTCCCCAACCCGCTGCCCCGGGGCGTAGAACGCCACGAAGACCGCCACCAAGCACACCATGGCGCCATAGCTCAGCACACCACAGAGACATCGATGCTGAGATCGAAACCCGGCCCACCTATCCAAGTTGATCTCCAAGTAGTCCAGGTCTGTCCAGGACTTACTCTCGGCGCTGGAATCTGAGCTTGACTCGCTGGCCCGTTCCGACCACCGGGCTGCCCACATGAAGTCCCATGGCCGGCGCAAGGGCGAAAGTTCGACTGAGCACTACGTCTGCAGCACTCAACTTGCAAAGCACAGTTACATGTGTATGCAAGGGTTGAATTCCGCAATAAGAAAAACAGAATGCAACCGTTCCACCAACAAGGCAAATGTGGAAACTCTTCAGGGCCGGTTGCATATTTGTTGGTATGACGACTGGAAACTGCTCGCTTCCCTGTTCACAGTCGCGCCATCGTCGGAGAAGTGCTCGTTCCTCTTCTCCCCGAACTTCTCGCTCTTCGAAACAGAGCCCTGGCGCAGTCAAGATCCGGGCTTGGATTGATCAGCACAAACAAAGTTGGTCAAAGAGACAAGTGCTTTGGGCAAGCTCAAACTCAAGAAGTGCCAGAAAAGAACTTGAGATCAACTGCGGCGTAAGCGGAAACCCAACGGCGCTTTGACCCAGGTGTTGACCTATGGCCAATACAACAGAAGCAACCAGCGACCACCGACCAGAACAACAGACAAACAATGAAGACACATGCCACTGCTTTTTGGGGAGGGGGGTCGCCCTTCAATCCCGCCGTTACTTCTCCATGTCTAAAATATGTTCGTTCAACCGACCTTCTCTGAGTCGAACCAAAGCCTGGCGGTAGAGCCCATGTCATTCATTGAATGGGCGGCTATCCTATGTTCGGTAGGAGTCTCGGGTAGCATTTGTTGAGATCTCCCCTGATTCACCAATTTGCTCGACCAACCACACTTTGCACATTTTACCAGCACCAACAGGTTCCCCCCAAAATGGGGCCCAATCCATTCAAAGTGACGTTTCACGTGGCTCCCCGCAGCGGTATCCTATCAGCTTTCCGCAAGTCCAGCGGCAAAAAGCCTTTGCAGCCGGAAGTTCTTTTGGCCAACCACACTTTTCTTGGGACCCTCTTTTGTTCAAGCCGTTGATTTCCGTTGGATGTTGGCTTCCCCTTAAGTCGGCCTCGTCGTTTGCTTCCCGCCCAAGTCCCTCGGGATCCGGGGGGATCTTTGCATCCGGGGATCCGGGCCATGGGCAAGGTGCTCTTCCGGTCGTCGTCCAGCTCCAGCCAGGGGAAGGCACGGGCCATGGACCCTGAGAGGCGATCCGAGCTCCATTTCGCTCCCCCATTTCGCGAGCTTCGTTTCTCAGTTTGCTGGCAGTGAGCTGCTGTGCTGGCGGCTGGCTGGTTTCTGAAAACCCCACCTTTTGTTTTGGTGCTTGGACACACGTCTGTCAATGATGCCGGGCAACTTCTTGAAGGGAAATGGGTTTGACAGACTGAAATCCGTGCAAACATTGGATTTAAAGGAATTGATTATGAATTCACAAGCAACCAACACGGCTGCCCTTTGTTACAGGGATTTACGCTGTCAAAATGGATGTGCCAACAGCAACAAATCGGAAACCAAAAAGGGAGCTTCCAATGTACAAACCGAAATTCTTCAAAATCGGGCTTTCACGGGACTTTCACAAGACCACCAAGGCAAGTTAGATTTTCCATTGATTTAGCCTTTGCTGCTCCTGAGCGTACGAACTTGGGGTCCTTGACCAGAAGCAAATGAGAGTCACGGCCCGGGATCCGAGTTCAGAGCCCGCTTCGAGGCGAGTCGCAGCGACCAAACTTTCTGTCTAAACCCTTCCAACCTGCAAAACCCCAAACCCAAACCCCGAAACCCCCCAAACGCCTGTCCCGGAGGCGGCCAAGATCAGTAGGCCAAGCAGGCGGTCCAACTCCTTTCGCTGCTGGTGGGTCAAAGTCCGGCAGAAGAGCACTGCGCTGAGCAGCGCGCAGAGCCGCCCTCGGCGAAATCGCAGAAATTTATTGAGCCCGCGGACTGTTCGACTTCTTGAGTCCGAATCAGAGACTTCCGTGGGGAAGCTTGCTTCATCTTGGGCGTGACCTAACGGCTGCCAGGGAACTAAGTGAGGCTTTTGATGGCTGGGAAGCAATCGTGACGCCGCCATGCCCTTACTATGCCTCTAAAATGGATCAGATGCAAGGGAGGCGAGAAGACGAAACCCGGAGCGAAGCATGATTTCTTCGTCGTTGCATGGAGCAAACAACAAACTCTCAGAAGCTGTCGTACGGCAACGCGGCAAAGTCTTTCTTGCACTTGGTCTTGTCCATACTCCACACGCCAGAGAAAGAGGTGGCATCACCATTCTCCGGGGACAACACATATTTTCCAGCAAACATAACGTAAAACAGCCTTAAGATCCCTGAATTCCCTGAAAAGCCCGGGCAGCTGATAGCCAAGCGTCTGTTTCGGCGATCGATGGCTTCATCGCCTGCCTGAACGTGGAACGCGCCAGTCGCATGCTGGAAGAGGGAATGCGCAAGCCCTTGGCCTGCCCCATCTGCTTCATGATCATGAAACCTGAGAGAGCTGACAGCACAAACCCAACGGTCCAACGGCCCCGGAGAGGTAAAATATGCGCAGCCCAAGGGCTCCATTTTGAGTGCAGGCGGGCGGCACAGCAAGGACTGCGCCAGTCGCTCGATGTTGGAGGCGTGTAAGTGCAGGTGTACAGGTTTGGGCCTCCAAGAATGCGAAACCGGCAGTTTCCTGAAGTTTCCTGGGTGCAAAACATCGCCTGTACTTCCAGTGCAGGCACTCCGGATACTCGGTGGCAAAGGCGGATGCTCGCACTGCCAGATTGGAGAGCGTGGCCATCACGTCGAGAACCTGAGAGACACCAGAGACATCGACAGCTTCAGCGCTCTGCCGAGTGTCCCCTTGGCAGCCCAGGAAGAGGAGCTCCAAGGGTCGGTGTGTCCTCGCTTCGCGCAACGGGTTTCGCACGCTTCGCATCTCTCCTGCTATCGCCAAGGATCTGAGAAGAGCCGATCGTGGGCGTGCGGCTGAACATGGCCAAATCCGGGATGCCCGCAGTCACGTCCTGTCCCGATGGTTCATTTGGGTGTGGTTTCGCCAGACAAAATCAAGCCGGGGAGCCAATGGCCATGGCACCGCGTAGGCATCTCCGTGGCTTCCTTCCGGGCCTGAACGAGAGACCAAACGCGCCGCTTGGGCTCGTTGTGTGGGTTTTTGCAGTAGATGTCTTTTTTGGGTTTGCCTTCTTGTTTCGGCAGGGCCCCCTTTGGTTCTTGAGAAGAGGACAAATGGAAACCGGCCACTTTCGGCTGAGGCCAAGGCCCAGTCCCGAGACCAGCGGAGAGTCCAGGAACCTCAGCGGAACAAGTCGTTGTGCCAGAGGCGAATCGCGACCCAAAGCATGTTGTTTAAGCGCCAAAAAAACACACCGAAAAGAAACGCATCACTTTGCTTGTTTAAGGACCCAAAAAGACAAAAGAAAACGGTGGCTTTGCATCACAAAAGCTAGGATGCCCCTCAGCCCTTCCTTGGGAACTCGATTGAGATCCTTGCGGTGTGAGGTTTGAAGCCCTCAGTACTTTGACAGGACCCTTTGGACATGGTAATACCCAACCAAAGTTAGCCAAACAGTTATGGGGGTCTTTGTGGCTAGGTTCTTAGGCCAATCTAAAACTTGGGCAGCCACGGAATTCGTTTCCGCGGTTGGGGTCTCGCTCAAACGTGTGGGTTTAAGCCGTGAGTCACAACACACCTCATTTGCAAAAGCGGAGCACGCCCGCCCTCCCCTTTTGGCGGATGTATTTGTGTCCCCTTCTCCCAGCCCAAACCAATTGGCGTCTTCGTGCCTTTCACGGAGTCAAAAGGAAGCGAAGCGCACACCAAGAAAGTCGCACCCCAAGTTGAAGTGCACTTTCGCTCACTACAAGGCCATCGAGCCACCGATGGAAAGGGGGAACAATCGATCGGTGGGTCCAACTTTCTGAAGTGTGATCCTGATATTCTGGCAACAGCTGCCAGGAAGTGTGTGGTCTCCTTCTATATCCAGAGGGACTTTGGCTCAGGATGTAGGCATCATTCAAACGCAAGAATCACAGCCGTGGCTGTGCATATGAGAGATGTGAAACAAAAGGTGTACCCAAAACGATCATCATCTACAAATGGAGCGGACTTTTGGGCTGCATTGATCATTCTAGGTTCCATGACTGCTCTTGCTAAGACTCTCAAAATGTGAGTGTGTGTGCGCTTGTGTCTGTGTGTTTTGTTAAAGAGTGTGTGTGTGTTTGTGCTTGCTTTCCCATGATCGTTTGGATTGCAGGAACGTTTGTGTAAGGCTCTAAACGTGTGTTATTTGCTTTGTTTTCACCAATTGTTCGGTGGCCAAGTGATTGGCCCGCGAAACAAGTGCCCGACTCTGCAGCGGTGCGCCGCGCTGAGCGCATGGTCTGAGCCGGCTCCGGCCAAAAGGCCCCCCGGCTTCGGACAGTCGAGAAATGGAGTGGACCCTAGGTGGCCTTTGGAGTTGAAGTGGATCCTATCCATAGGCTGTAGGTATCCAAAAAGGAACCCTGGTACATGTAAACACGGACGAAAACCTGCAATCCCCTGGTTGACAAGAACGGCCACAGGGTGATCCTTGCCCAGGGTCGCCTAGGCCCACTCAAAACTCCTTTGAAGTCAAGGCTTCAGGACAAGGACACATGTAAGCACGAAACCCCGGACGTTTGGTTCTACCAAGATGGTTGTAGATGGTAGGATCCACCCCCCAAAATGGCCAATCTAGGCGCTGGCACGTTTTTGGGGTGGATACATGCTGACAAAGTGCATGCAGCACATATTGTCATTTCACAGCGAGCAATAACACAACACCTACGATCAACAATACCCCGAACACACCACCAGATTTAGCAACGATGATGGCTCAAGAAAGGACAAATGTACAATTGTTGGTCAGGAAAAAGATGCCGGGCATCAGCCGAAATCAACGAATGGAATGGAATGCCAGCGAAAATCCAACATACCGACCAAGATGGTCTACATGGCGGTTTTGGGTGGCAAAACCGATGGGTTGCTTTTGGCTGCCTTTTGGCCGCAAGTCGGCCAGAAGAAGCGCAAATTCACCATCACAAATGAAATAGAACACGATGGGGTGCAAAGGGCATCCACGAAAACCAAAACCTTCTCCTGATCTCTGGGCAGAAGGAGCATTGTTACCTCGCAAAACTTGTCAAACGAGATGCAAACAAGCTAGAGAAGATATTCACCGAATTAGTAGTGGCCACAACTCGCCAATCTGCAAAAAGAGATTGCCATACCGCTGAAAGACACAACAGGACCACTGCGACAACATGGCAGGCAATATCACAACGCACGCGCGCAACAGATCACTGGTGATAGAGTATCACAAAGCAGCATCACAACTCGCCAAACTACAAGCAACTACACCAAGCAGTCGCAGAAACAAGCACCAGTGGCCAACAACGCAAAAGAAAAAGGCACGAGCGGGGAAACAAAAAAACAGCCAAGCAAAATACGACCAGGGAAGAACAGCTACAAAGGCTACCGCATACTTAAACTACCACGGAGGAGAACAAATGAATACAATCAGCAAATAGTGAGAGAAAAACCTGGCATGGGGCAGCTTGCATCGCGAACAGCTTAATGCGGGGAGTGCATCCAAGGGGAGTGCTGTGAGTCTCTGATTCCCTCGCAGCCCTTGACAGCCCACATACAAAAGAGCTACGCGCCCAAGTTGGTGGCAGCATACCGCCACCCCGATCATCAACCACTCCAAGTGCCTAGCCTTTTTTCAACCTAATTCGTGGGGGCAAAGTCAACAACCTAATTCCATTGGTCCTTTGAACTGAATGGGACCTTACCCTCGGATCGGATCTCTGCCTCCAGGCGCTGTAAAAGGTGCTGCGCCCGGGCGCTGGTGCCCAGGCCTGTCCTGGGAATGGCTACGGGTCAATACAGGCGGAAGAAGTAGCATGGGTTTTTTGGGGGTGCCTTAGACCAAATTGAGCCATGGGGACATCATGTTCGTACTTATTCCGCCCCCTTGTCTTGAATAAGCACAAACAGGTGACATGCTTGTCTTGATCATGATTGAAGCTTTAAGTCTCCAACCCCATTCCAATCATTTAGGCCCTTATCGTATCACCAAAGGGTCGCCCCAACAAAGAACACAAACATATCAATGTGCTGTTTGGGCTTGTGGTTCTTTGGAGTTCCCCCAAAATCCCCCGGGGTGTGGCTGGATAGAATTGCCCGACAACACATCGCAACAAACAAAATCACTTGTTTCCCCGAAGATGGGAGATTGGAGCCCGGTTCGCTTGGTTGGGACAATTTGGGTCCCATGTCCTCCCCAAAGAAGTACGCTGCACTGCCCGCTTCGCATGTGGGCAGAGGTCTTCTTTTTGTGGCTAGGTCTGGTGTTCTACTAGCGTTGTGTTGTCTTAGGGCTGGCAACATCCCCAGCGTCTGAAGGGTTGGCTGGCCGCATGCCCAGCATCACCGGCCCCTGACTTGCACCTAGGGTTGCCCATTGGTGCTGGATTTCGTGGCAGTTGAGAGTTGCTCGGGATGGTTTAGGTGCAATGAGGGAATGTCTTGGGTTGGTTCTTGGTTCATTTGGGCTGGGCAAGGGGCTAAAAGGGCTGATATCCTGGCTGTTGTTGGGCGGGCTGCGGGTTGACTTTGGGTGGGTTTGGGTTGGCTTGGAGCGTGCTAGGTGTGCTGCTGGTTTGTGGTTACATAAGCTTTGGGCTGGTTTGGGATTGGGTTTGGCACGTTGCCACACCCCACAACCCTCCAACTGATCGACCTACTAACCTACCAATCATTGGCCTGGGCAGGCCAAAGAGTGTCATTCTTGAGCCACAGCAGTCCTGCCGTCGTCGTAGCGAATGGCCAGGTTGATGCTGATCTGGCAAAATCTTGCGTCCAAACTTTCAACTCCAAGTCCGCTAAGCAACATGGACCCTAACCCCCCACCCAAAGAAACAAAACCGAATCCTCAGAAAGGGCGGGGCATTTTGTGGGCTCGCTCAGAGCGACGCCTCTGCGCTGTCTACCAGGCTGTGGAAGGTCCGATCCTCCAGCAGGGCGCCTTGCGTCCTTGGCGCCCGACATATGGGTGTGACCCCGGAAGTTGCGATGTTCACTTTGGTCCCTTCGGGCTCCCTGCAAAACTGAAAACGGGTAGCCTGACAGAAACACGCGATGAAATGCGCCTCCCCAAAGTTTGGCAATGTGTTCCAGGCGGCGCGTTTCGGTGCTCCAGCTCTTCCACGAAGCACTCACCCAGCCTCAGCTCACGCGAAAGCCGGAATGAGCCTGGAAGCTGCTTTGGCTCTGGTGGAGAACTAAAGAAAAAAAAGAAGAAAAAAAAACGCCAGGAGGCCTCCAGTAGGCCAGGGAGTGGTTGTCCGAGGAGAAGCCCCAGTGTGCCGACCACACCAAGTACACCTCGCGGCTTGGTGAAATCCCTACAAAATGCGCCAGGATCGGTGTGGGACAGCCGCTGAGATCGTCTTACATCAGGTATCCCCTGACTGGTGGCTTGGATTGGTTCGGGGATTTGAGCCCCTGGTGCTTGTTGAGAGTTTCCGTTTCCGGCAAACGGCTTCAAGCATGCTCTTGGCCTTTTGCGTTGGGGCGCCCACAACCCATTGATCACAAAGGTTTATGCAGGCTGGCCTTGCGGCCCCAATTTGACCATACTTAAATGGCCAATGGGCGTTTGGGCGCTGCCCCCCATTCGCAGTTGAACAGCTGTTTTTGCGCTTTGACCTTGTACCATTTTTCTCGAATCTCTGGGACAGTTTCAAGTTGGCAGATTTGCAGTTTGATGATCGGACTGTTCAACTTGACGACCGATGGTTTTTCTTCTGCATTGTTCAACTGTTGCACTGCTCAAGCTTCTCGACTGTTTGGCGGTTCGCACTTTTTGACTGTTCGATTTTCCAACACGGAATCCAGAGTGAGCAGGACTTTTTGGGCCCACCCAACAAGGCGCATGATCAAAACAAACCACGCCCCCACCTGACAATTTTGTCGCCTCGGCTCCCAAACCCCCGCCGACCTTCCGAAACTTGCCGCACGGCTTGCCACGCCTTGAGATCCTCCTGCGCCTTGCTGCGCCGCTTTTGGCGCAACCGCACCCCCGAGCGCCAGAGATAGGGCTCCGGGTGCAGGAGGTCCAACCGGATGGCCTAGGCCGGAAGCAACGCTTGAAACCTTCGCACTTGTTGTTCTGTTCTCAAAATAGGCAATCCTGTTTGGGAGAGAGCTGACTTGTGAAACCCTTGAGGCTTCTTGCGTCCTTGGTTTGTCCCCTTAGGCTCATCCAGGAATATCCCCGAGCGTCTCTTGCAGTCCCATGGTTTTGCGCAGAAGGCGGAAAATCACTGGGTTCTGTTTTCCAGTTGGTACCCAAACTAAACACCGCATTTGTTTGTTGGGGTTCGCATGGTGTTGACACGCACGGTGGTGAAATCCGTTGATTTTGCGCTTAAACCACCAGACGAAAAAGCCCATGTCTACATCTCCCGGGGTTCTCCATTTTGGATAAGCCATGTTTTGGCCGGCCACATTATTTGCCCCACCATTGGTCAAACGTCTCCCGACAGCTTCTGACTTTGGGCTGGCCTTGCAGCACGCCAGCTCCAAGCCTGCCGGCCGGGCCGACGAAGGAAGCAGAGAAAGAAAGAAAGAAAGAAAGAAAGAGCATGTAAAGAAGGGTTGTCGTCTCGATGTTTCGTGGTTTCGTGAGTCCCCATGTCCCCAAATTGGTTATAACTGTTTTCGTTTGTAACGGTTGAGGAATTCGTCATTTGGAAGACCATCCAGTATCGCACCAGTGGGCAACTCCCACTCTGGCTTCTGGTTGCAATCAGTTTCCTTTGTGCTTTTCTTCGGGTTTCCTTTTAGAACAAAAGCAGTTCAGTTTCGCAGCCATCTTTCCCAGCTCGAATACCTCACCCCAATGGAGAATATACAAAACACGCAACATCCTCTGGATGCCTTCCAAGGTAGGGAAGCCCGTGTCAGATCTACCCCTTGCAGGGAAACAAAGGAAAGCAAACAAGGCCACGCAGGGTTTTTGCGCATGAAACCAGGTCAGGCAAACCAGGTAAGTGCCTTTTCTATGAACGGTTGAGCTCATACTTCCAGCCAGTAAGAACCTCCAGATCCAATCCGGAAAGTCCTTTACACAAATCCCCCAAATCCCAGTGTTGGCCCCTTTTCCCTTTAGACTTCCTGAGGCCAAACCCCCCCGGAGTTCTGAATTCCCGTCCCCGTACCCTTCGCCTGGCGCGGGCCGCAGCTCCTGCAGCGCCTGGCGGAGGCGCTGCTGGTGGAGGAGGCAGAAGTGGCGGCAGCAGCTGGCCAAGCCTCAAGTCCCGTTCGACGGAAAAAGCACGGCGTTCCCCGAGGAAAAAACAAAAGCACGCATGGCATCATGTGGTCGGTTCTTGAGTTGACTGCTGTTTCTGTTGGCTCACTTTTGGATTTGTGTTGGTTGCCTGGGAGTTGTTGTGGTCGTGTTGGATATTGCGGAACTGCTGTTGTGTTCAGGGCCCCCAGTCAGGTCAATGTGATTTTGTGTTTTTAGGTTGTTGGGCGTGATTTTGTTTTTCTTCGCGAGGCTACCCCTTTCTGTGGTTGTGTAGGAAATCAAAAGGAAACCAACAATTTGGAGGGTCCCCGAGAAAAAACACACACCCATTTTCATGATAAACTAGTTCATAGGTTGGTGTCTTTTGGCATGTTGCTCTGATTTGACGATACCAGGCCCCTGGCCTTTTTCCACCATCATGGAAGTGCGTAGAAACCAATCCAAAAGGAAAGTGTTGCTCCAAATGGGTCTGTGCAGCACTTCCATGTTGAACCCCCCAACCAGCAAGAGGTCCACGGGACCACTCGGATGTCCAGATCTCTGCTCGCGCTTCTGTTGATTAAAGTGCTGATGGTTGCGTTGCACGGCCGGATTTGCCCGACCCGCTTGACACACTTCGCTTTCTGGCTTTCTGCCAGAAAAATGGAGGAGATGCCCTTTTCCCTTGTCCATCCTAAAGTTTCTCACTTGAGCCTCCCTCGGCAGCTGCCAGGGAGCTGCTGTCAGCTGCAGGCTTTGGCAGCTCCATCCCTGAGGCCACCCGAGGGGTCCAGTGCTTTTTGGGAATTCAGAAAATCCTGGCTGACTTTGATTTATTTCGGGTCTCATTCCGATCCGGGGAAAGCCCAGCTCCCCAGAGATGGAAACC